GGCTAGGACCCACACAGGGTTGTAAAGCCAAAATGATGATGATCAAGTTTATCTATTTGATTACTAATAAGCTGAATAGTCGAGCCAAAGTCTTTAAAGTTAATAAGAATATGTAAAAAAGCATATTTTCTTTTGTTGAAAGGAAATATACTAACACAACACTGTGCCCAGAAATATGTGGCTTGGCAATGATCTATCTTAAGAACCAATTTTAAAAATGCATACGACTACATTTTTTTATTTGATGTTCAACTTTTTACTTATTTTCAAAACAAATGAATAGTTTGGATATGTAATTGGTTTTAAAAGTTTAGTGTTACACTGAACGCATGCTCAATTAACTTCAACAATTAGGAAAGTTTTTTACAAAAACTCGACAAGTGGTCTAACCACGTATGGTTAAGGTATGGTATTAAAAGCCCCTCACCTTAAAAAACTAATACTTCAAAAAATATAGATACTGGTCTAATCCAATTTGACAAACATATTAATAGTTACGCTGAGATTAATAATAACCTAGATCTAATTCTCCGTCAGCATTATAAACATTGCCATAAAATCTTTACAGATGCATCTAAGTCCGATAAAGGAGTAGATGCTGCATTCGTTACTCCAAGCGATACATATCATTCATATCAATTTCGTCTTCCAACGTTCTTTTCGATTTTCTCTGCTGAGCTCTATGCAATGCTTAAAGGTATTACGCATATAAATTCTAATAACATTCCTAACTCTGTTATCTTAAGTGACTCACTAAGCGCCCTTCAAACCCAAAACAGATCTATCCTAAAGGTTCTCTTAAGGAACTAGAAGTATCATATTTATATCGATTTTATGCCATATTGGTATTGCAGGCAACAAGACCAGTGCGCGAGTGAAATTGCTAAATGTGCTGATAAAGCAAAAGCCGATTATCGAGATACTGCGAGTGATATAAAAGCTTTTATAAAGAATCGTGTTTTGTGCAAGTTGAAAAACGAATAGCAATCTTCTCAAACATCACTGAAACAAATTAAAAATGACGTTACAGCTTGGGAACCCTCAACCAGGAATATAAGAGTACATTGGTGATAACGAGATTACGAATTGGACACACGAGAGTTACTCATTTAAATTTTATTGTCCAAAAGTGATTCACCTATATGTGAAACATGTAATGTACAAGTTACATATTATTTGAATACCATAGTTTTGCAAATTTTCATGTAACATTATTTAACCCTTAACTTGGCGCGCACATAACCGCTGTAAGAAAAATGTTTTTGCTTACTGAATATTATCTTCATTTTCAGAGTCAATTACATTTTTGTTTCTATTTTAATTTTTTTGACATTTTATTGACATTGTATCTTATAAGATACACTGTTAGGCGTACCGTATATTACAGTGTATCTCGCAAGACACATTGCCAGGTATACTATAAAACAAGTACTGATGACCAATAGATACATTGCCAGGTTATTGAAAAAATACCTCCGTATCTAGAAAGATACATTGCCAAGATTTATATTTGTCGTTTGGCCAATATATTAAATAATGTTGGATTAAACGGAAATTATCAAATTTTCACAAAATATAATAAAAACATTAAACAAATTTACAATTATTTCGCTAAGGATCTTTAGCATTATCAAGACTTTTAGCAAAACAATTGTAGATTTTTTTAATGTTTTTACTACATTTTGTGGAACTGTCTTTTAAATCGTAGGCTTCCACGGCCAGAGTCAGAATTATAGTTTATTCGTCTTCCGGGTTTGGACCGTGTCATTTGTGAGTGACCCAAAAGTGGGTTCATCTCTTGTTGAGAACCCACTTTTGGGTCACTCACAAATGACACGATCCAAACCCGGAAGACGAATAAACTATAAAACTGTCTTTTACTTCAGTTATTATGAACAGATACCATAAAGTAGGGGTTTAAACTATAAACATAATATTTTATCATTTAATATCAATCATTTACATTTAAAAATTATTAATAAACTACAAAGATGATCAAACATTTATTTTTAAAGCTTAAATTCAAAACTTTAAATAATACTTAGAACACTCAAATATATATATATATATATATATATATATATATATATATATATATATAATATATAAATATATATATATATATATATATATATATATATATATATATAATATATATATATATATATATATATATATATATATATATATATATATATATATATATATATATATGTGTGTGTGTGTGTGTGTGTGTGTGTGTGTGTGTGAAGATAAACAATAATTGCATTTGATTCACAAGCTTTTGATTTTCACACAAAATACACGAGGAAAATAAATTGTTGAATCTGACTGTTACCATAAATCGCAAATTATACAAAAAATCATTACAAGCATAATATACCAAATGTTTTTATCACTTTTCTGTTAATCCTCTAATGGGCAAAGTAGCTAATAAGATACAATTAGTATTTGTCAGTATACCGGGTAACGTATCCAGAAAGGATACTTATTCAATTTTCTTCCGTACCTGGCAATGTATACCCGAGGATACTAACTAAATTGTCGCTTAACTGGCAATGTCTCTTCCTAGACACTATCTGTTTGTTCACTAGAACACTAAAGTGATCCTATCTGTTTGTTTATAGACAAATTGTGAATAATATTTTATACAATTATTTGCTGAAGACCCAATTAACTATAATTATAGTTTACCAATCCATACAATAACTATTAACATATAAAAAATTAATTTACTTACCGAATGACACAAATTAGCACTTTTTTGGAAGTCATTTTGAGCAAGTCTACACAAAACACTCTCTGATTGTGGCAAAACTCTGTGTATGGCATTCAAATTAATTTGTTGGTTAGCCGAATGCTATAATAGGGAGAGTGTACTTTTAAAATCTTGCGGCAAACTTGTTTATGTAGAGGAAGTATAATTTAATAAATAACGTATCCTGGAGTGCACACCGTCAAGTAAAGGGTTCATACCTAACAGTAAAAGTAATTTAGTAGGCCCTATTTTTTAGCTAATAATATTGTATATTTCTTAAAATCTATATAGTACAGTCACTGAAGGTCACTGAAGCTCCGATTTTGTTGAACCTCTATCGATTTTCATGAAAATTGGTGAGTAGTTAGAGAATACCTTAAGAAACAAAAGTGACATGGTCAACTTGCTCTTTTACCTTGGGGGTGGATGCCACCCCTTCTCGGGGGTGGAAATTATTTTATCAAAAATAACCCCAGGAATCGATAGAGGGACCAAATCTAAACAAAAGTTAATAAAATAAATCAATACTTTTTGAGTTATTGAAGATAAAAGATTTTGATTTCTCGTGAAAAAAATGCATGTTTTAAAGCGGTTTTTCATAAATAACTCAAAAACTATAAGTTTTTATAAAAAAGTTGGTTGTCTGTATCAAAATTGAAGCTAATAAAAAATTATATAAATTTCTTGCTTGGAAAACCTTTTATTATTAATTAAAAGTGGGCAATAGGTAACTAAATGTTTTTTTGCGGCGAATACTCAAATCTGAATATTCAAGCTTAAATAACGGGAAAATAATGCATTTTATGAAATGTCATTATTTAACAATTTTTAAAGTACTCAAAAATACCTATAAAAGTGGCCTTAGAAGAAGTTGATAGCATTAAAATTAAGCAAGTTATGATGAAAATAAGAAGATTCTTTCGAATTTGTTTGGAAAAAGTGAAAAATAAAACATACGCCATTTTCACAAAAATTAAAATTAATACTAATCCCTATGAGGCCTTCTTTATTTTAGTATAAGTAATGACCTAATTTAGGTCAAAAATTTTGACCGGTTTAAAATGCATTTTTTGAAAAAAAAATTGATTTAAAAATATCAGAATTTTTTAAATTTTCATAAATTTTCTTTTCTTTTGAGAATAATTTCCATTATTCCATTTCCAACTATCGAATGTGAAAACTCGGGTTTTTCAGATTCGATACCTTGTCCTTGCATTAGACGTGATACATCTTGTAGCCAAATATCGAAATTGTAGCTTAATAAGGAACACGGGAAAAATTTGTTTAAACCATCGAATATGAACATTTTGTCATTTTGTTTTCGTCAAAATATCGAATATACTGCAAACTGACGAAAATGAAATATTCGATACTTATGTTTTGAATAAATATAACTAAAGTCATATGTGTACAACGCAAAATGACGAATGTGTCCCATTCATTAGCTTCAGTGTTGTAATTGATACAATTATTTAATTATAATCTGCAAACTGTCAAAAATAGTAAACATTGTTGACAAAAACAAAACGCATGTGTTTAAAATTGTGTGAATTATTGCTTCCAAGAAGTTCTTTCGGTGAGGCACTTTATCTTTTTGTTTTTATCGGTTTCTCATTATCTGATTATTCAGTTAACTGGATATAGCTAAAGTAGAAACAGTGATTTTGTCAAAACGAGAATTATTAAAAAAAAACATTAAAGAATGCTGCCTTTGACGCGTCGTCCACACAGTGTAATTTTCCTTTAGATCACAAACACCTCGAAAGAAAAGATGCAGCGAGAAAAAAAGAGATGAAGATAAACAGTCGGCTTTCAAGAATAGAAAAATATTAGCATTTAATTTCGATCTTCAATTTGTTTTGTCAACGCCTAAAGCAGCTGCAGGACCTTGTGTTTATGTGAGAAAACTTTTAATAATTTGACCATTTATTATTTAAGAGAAGTGAGCGTCCAGTGTTTCATATAGGATGAAACCGAGGGAAAACGCGGTGGTACTGAAACTGCTACATGTATATTTAAATACATTAAATCTTACCCTGATATTGAACATTTAAAAAGTAATATCCGACAATTGCAGAGAACAACAGAAAAACTTTGCTTTTTCTGGTATATGTCAATATGTTAATTGTCACCCAAATTTCAAAACAATTGACGATGTGTTTTTGTACCGGGTCACTCAGAAATGGAATGCAACTCTGTTTATTCAAAAATTGAATCTAACTTAAAAAATTCCCCTGTATAGGTACACCCTTAAAGGATGGGCACAAATCATAAGACTTGCATGCACTAAGCCATGCCCGTTTGAAGTGACATACCTACTTCATAACGAAATCTTAGATTTCAACCAAAGAAAAGTGACATTTGCACTAGAAAATAAAATAAAACCAAAGAACAGTCATGATCAATATGAAAAAGAAAATGATGTAAAATATGAAGAGCAAACAAGTAATGGAAATACTAATTTTAAATATAGTGATGGTGTATGAACAATGGAAAGGAAGACTTGAAGATGCTTATGTTCAGATGTGGACGTGAATGGCTAGACAAAGAAGAAGAAGAAGAAGATGGTGTATGGTACCAGTATTGGCCAAATGAAAATAAATTATTATGAAGACTAGAATTGATGAAAACTTTTTATCTCTTGAAACCAAACAAAAAAAGAGGCAAACAAAATAGTATAAACATGTATGTGAACAAAACCTATTACCTAGGCAATACCACCAATATGACCAATTTTTACCAACATCTAGTACTGCCAGAGAACTACGATTATCTGGTACTGGGAGAAATTATCTTCCAGAACCTGACGCAACTGAAGACAACGATAACGTTTAATTCGAAATTTAATACCTTTAATTTACAATTATTTTACAATAATTGAGGGTCATGAGGTCATGAGGAAAAGGATTGACGCATTCGAAATGTGGTGCTGGAGACGAATGCTACGCGTCTCGTGGACGGAGCACAGATCCAATCAGTCGATTCTCGAAGAGCTAAACATTCAGACCAGACTCTCCTCTCAGTGTCTTGCAAATGTTTTAAAGTTTTTTGGCCACATTGCGAGAAGAGACAATGACAACTTAGAAAGACTAATTGTGTGCGGAAACGTAGAAGGACGTAGAGGCCGAGGACGCTCACCTATCCGATGGTCAGATCAAGTACAGAAAGCCACTGGAGAGACGTTTTCCGAGTCCATGAGAGCAGCCCAAAATCGCAAGAGATGGAGAGAATTGACAGCCCGCATTGTAGGGAATCACGATCCTCAGCAATGAGGAAACGACAAGAGAGAGAGAGAGAGGGTCATGACTTAGTACTTAAGGTATCTACAGGGCGTGAAGTTCCATAATTAATATTTTTTACGTTTCTAATTACATTAATTTTCTAGCAATACATGCTTTCATAAAAATATGTTTAACAATTTTTTTAAACATAATTTTCCCATTTTTTACTACAACTTTAATTTTTAATTAAATGATTTGTAATAAACTTTGTAAGAACATTAAAATTATTTTAATTTTTCTCCTTTTCAATTAAGATATTAGAAAATATATTAGACAATATGTACATTAGACCAATATTAACTTTCGAAAATGCCACATTCGCAATTTCGAAACATTGCACCAAATGAATGTGTTAAAATTATACCAATATAAACTGCAGAAATGCCACATTCGCAATTTTGAGACATTGTATCAAAACAAATCGTTGATTAACACAAAAAGCAAAGTATCGAATGTGATTTTTTGGAAAGAAAAAAACAGTAAACATTTTAATTTTTTATCATTCTAACAAGGATTAAACATTAAATATAAAAAATTTTTCATTCGTCAAGGCCTGATTTAGGATTCCCTAAAAAAGAGTTATCTTGCTCGTCTGAAAAGTACTACTTTTCATATTAGATAGTTGGAAATGGTAGGGAGGATATACTCAATATACATAAAAAATGATAAAAAAAAACAAAATTTGAGGTTTTTTTTCTAACAAAGATTTTCGTTTTTTTATATTTTTGTATGATAAAAAATAACTGAGATGAAAACGTTTAAAACCTAAATTTTACGGCGAGAACCATGTAACCGGAGCCCTTTAACCTTTTATTTATTTTTTAATAAGGAACTTAAAGACTAAATTTAATACAACTTTGAAATTACCTTTTAAATGGTTTTTGAATGAACCTTACATCGTAAAAATTAACGAAGGTATTGTAAAAAAATCAATAACATTAAAAAAAAATTTGGAGTAGAGATTTTGTATGTATATATAGGAAAAAGGATAGATAATAAGGCCGCTAATATCGATACCATTTTAGAAGCTGGTAGGTACTGCACAATATTATTGTACGGAAGTGCAAAAGATGTGAATATGAGTAAACTACAACGCATAAAAGATCTATCAGCTTATCTGAAACAGATGCGTAACGAGTCCTTTATTAAGGCTACCACTAAAAATAGTGCAGTAAAGCTTTCGTCTCCGGTCTTAACGGTTGCTGCATTGGATGAGCATATCAAAAGAGTGTATTTACAAACCTAGATATGGCTTGGAAACAAAGACATTCGTACAGTTGACTGGGAATGTTGCAAAATTGAAGAGTCTTTGTTTTTAACGAAAAATCCCAATCCACCTACTCCAGAAGAATTGTTAAAAAAAATTTTTTGCAACTGCAAAAATGGTTGCGGCGCTTCTCGCGGGTGTCGAAGAGTAGGGTTATTTTGCAATGCAGTCGGCGGATCAGGCAGTGGGGACAATTGCCAAACAAGCCATCCAATTAATGAAAAAGGAGAAATTGATGAAGAGAGCTCTGATAAAGAGTGAATAATTAACAATTAAAGTACTATTAATATTTGATTAATTTATGAAACATTACTTAAATAAAAAATTAATGAACTTTTCGTATATTTTAATATTTATTTTAATATGTTTTTCTCCTCACTAACAAATTAAATTTTTATAAGTAACATAAGCATTAAAAAAATTGTTCAGGAAATGTGGTAAGAATAATATTAATAAAGTTTGGAATATATTAATAAAGTTTATTGTAACCAATAAAAAACTTTCTAAATGATTAAAGTTATTAAAGTTAATAAAAAAAATTTCCATGATTTTTATGACAAGAAGTAGTTTTTAAGTGTGCAAAAATATGTAATAAAAAAATAAATACTTTAATACTCAGTAAATGAGATTTCAATTCAGTAATGTATTATTCAAATAAATAAAGTGTCTTGAAATTAATTTTTTCAATGATTCTGCTTTAAGAGGTGGTTTTTAAGGGTAGAAATTTCACAGTTAAACAAAAATTTTATATCATAAACATTAAATAAACTATTCGGGTAATATTAATATGCGATTTCAAAAATATAAAAAAATATTTTTTCATGATTTTCGATTTAAGGAATAGTTGCTACAAGGGTTGAAAAATTAATTAAAATCATAAATCATGCTTATAAATGTTTCAAAATATTTATTTTATTTAATTATTCGAGAGACGAAAACCAGAAGAAAAGAAAAGGAGATCAAGAGGAAGAGTTACGAGGTGCTTTCATCAAAAGTCGCAAAATGGGGAGATCTCCCATCAACAAAAAGGAGAAAATGGAAGAAAATGTACAAAAAAATTATGAAAATGATGACAGGTGTAAGTATAAAGATAAAAGAACAATCAAGAGAACTCAGCGAAATTAGGAAAATAGAAGAACGGCTGGAAAGTTTGGAAAATGGAAAACGGAAAAAGGCGTAAAAATATAGTTATACAAGGCATGAACATAGATACAAATATCCCAGAGACTCTAAAACATAAAATAAAAAATGTTGTGCAGGTTTTATTAGCAGTGGATGTTTGAATAGAGAAGGTTGTGAAGCTGGGAGAAAAAGTCTGCCTGGTTAAGCTTGAAAAAGAAGAGGACAAAAGAAAAGTCATGCGAAACAAAAGCAAATTAAGAAACCGAAGAAAATGCCTAGTTTATATCAATGATGACCTGTCAAAGAAAGATAGAATTAAACAGAAATATGTCAGACAAAAAGCGCAAGAACTAAGACAGGAAGGGAGAAAAGTGAAAGTAGGATATAAGAAAATATATTCCGATCAGGAAATATGGCGCTGGGATGGCTTGAACCTAACGTTGGTAGTAGAGACCAAAGCCAAAAACTAAGCACCAGCATGAAAAGGAAAGAAATGAAGACGAAGAATGCGAAGAAAAGGATTACGAACTATGAAAACGAAACAAAGCAAGACAGGAATATAAAGGTAAAGCCGAAGAAAGACAAGATACATTTAGCTACATGGAATGTCAGAGGAACCTTTTATGAAGGTGCGCTAAAAGAACTAATGAATGAGGCAAGGAAGTATAAAATAGATTTAATGGCTCTTTAAGAGACAAAACAACTAGGATCGGAAATAACTGATATAGAAGATATGGTGCTGTTTAAAAGTGGAGGTAAAGATATAATGCTTGGAACTGGTTTTTTAGTAGCTGAATGTATACAAAGTGTATGTGTACTGGACAAAGTTATAGCTTTAAATCCTATCTCTGATAGAATGTGTTCCATACGAGTTAAAAGTAAGAAAATAAATTGGAGTATAATCAATATTCATGCACCGTCAAAAGACAAGGACGACGAAATAAAAGATCTTTACTATAAGCAACTCAATGATGAATACGAGCGCCTACCTAAATGTGATGTAAAATAATAATGGGTGATTGTAATGCTAAAGTGGGAAAAGAACCTCTGTACACTGCAGTAACTGTTAACTATAGTAAACACGAAGTAACAAACGATAATGGTCAAAAGATTTGCCATAGAGAAAGACATGGTGGTGAGAAGCACAGAACTAAAACGAAAAGAGATATACAAAGGTACGTGGGTCTCCCCTGATGGAAGGACGGTGAATCAAATAGATCATGTTATGATTGAAAGTAAATATACGAATATCATTCAGAAGGAAAGAAGTATGAGAGGAGCTGAAATCTACTCGGATCATTACCTCGTTAAAGTCGCATGTGGGAGGAGGCTGGAAGAAAAAGAGAAATCGAACAATAAAACGAAGAGAAAGTACAATATTGAAAAACTTAAGGAAGTAGAAATAAAAACTAAATACGAAGGAGAAATCAATTAAATTCTACAACAATGTGACCAAAATTTACAGACAGATCAAGCCTGGAAACAAATTAAATCTGCTGTAGGAGAAGTTAGCGAGAAAATAGTTAAGTGCGACTTAAAGAAAAGTTCAAACAAAGATTGGTTTGACGAAGAGTGTCAGGCGATAGCAAAGGAAACGAAGAAGATCAGACAACAAATATTAACAGATAATAGAGAGTGTAAAAAACAAGAATATAGAATAATTCGAGGAAGATTGAAAACTCTGTGTAGAAGGAAAAAGAGATTCCACAATGAGTTGAAATTAAAAGAGATAGAAGAGAAGTTTTAAAACAAAGAGGTGAGGTTGTTCTATCAAGAAGTTAAAAAGAAGGGAAATAGTTACCAAAGCCACTGTAGT